AATCTACCAGCTGCTCTGTGGGAGAAAGATGAGCAATCTTCTCCTGTGTGATGGATCGCCTCTGACAACATTTTTAATGGATTCAGTAACTCATGTCTTTGCATCAATATTGTTTTCTCTGTAAGCCTTTCTGTTCTCTGACCCCAAGAACAGCCTGCTGTAGATGCAAACAATTAACACACTGGGTTGCTCATCAGAAGGTTAGAGGTTTGAGTCCACTGAGATGTGGAGCAGAAAAAATGACCTGGCATCTCCTTCTGAAAAGTCAATTGCTGAAAACCTGTACGGAGCACAGGTCTATTCTGGTACATGTGGGACTTCCTGGTGCTCCCTGGTTAAGTGCACTGACAGGCTACCACTGCAGTCAGGGTAGCTTTCCACACAACCCTGGTGGTCGGAGTCTGCACGGCATATTTCTCCATCTTGCATGTCAGTGGAGTTCTGGTTAAGTTTGCCACGAGGAAGTACTGGAGGGAAATTGAAAGGGGAGAACAACTTGACCTCAGGTTCTCAATTCCCTCCTCCAGAATCTGAACACCACTACCTCTAGAAATTTCTCTGCCAGAGCAAAGGCCCTGCCCAAGAGCTTCAAACACCCACAGCAACGAGTAGGAAAATCGTGTTGGTTCCAAAGTACAAAAGCTAGACAAGCAAAAAATTAACAAAAGCCTTGTTGAAGGCCTTCCAAGAGTTCACTATGTCAATTGGTAAACTGTGTAACTCGACTCTCAGATGCAAAAACATCTGGATTATAAAAACAAATTACTAATATGTTTTCAAAGTAAAAAATGGGTTGCAACAAAGTCATATTCCACAGAGGATGAGTCTCCATTTTTATTTGCATTTGGGGGTGATGGTGTTGGGTGGGGGACTTGTATGGTAAGTATGAGCATGACATGGTTTGTTTTAGCTGCTGTCAAGCCTACCCTGACTTAGGACAAGCCCGTGTTCAATAGGATGAAATGTTGCTTGGCCTTATGTTATCTTCACAATGGGCTTTGGCCACTATGTATTTTCAGTGTCGTCCAACCCAGGAGCCTCATCTTCAAGGATTTCCCTGTAATTCTCTACTGTGACTTACACGGTTCCAACGGTTTCTGAGGCTGTAAATCTTACAGGAGGAGAGTGTCCGTTTTTAGTTCCAGAGAAGCCACTGTTGGATTCAGACTTCCAGAGAAACATGGCTTCTACCCACTATGCCGGGAGCAAGGAGTTCTGGTGTTTTCATTCTTTGGGAATTGTGATTCTGACCCAAAGAGCACAGCTTTCCGGTGATTTGGATCCACCAGTGGCTCTGCAGAAGAAAGATGGACAGTGTACCTTCCAAGGAATTTACCATCTGGGAATGCCACTGAAGGGCCAGCAAAGAATTGGTTCCAACTCAATGGCAATATGTTTGAGGGTTTTTAAAATTTTTGGAATGAGGTTATCAAAACTTTCCTCTTAGCTTATCTTACTTTGGAAGTTCTGCCATATCCTGCCCATCATTCGTGACTTTGCTGAGATTTGAAAGAATGATGAAATAGTTCTAGCCTTACAGCAATATGAAAGCTACCACAGCGTTTTCAGTGGTTGATGTTTCAGAACTAGGTCACCAGGACTTTCTTTCTTCCACACTCCATTGGGTCAGAGTTGAACTAACAACACCTTTTGGGTTGTAGGCATGTATACTGTTTGTCTGGGCCACTCAAAGACACTACGTAGCACATACCTAGTATTTTAGTTCCCTGGTGCTGCTTCCACAGAAATACCACAAATACGTGGCTTTAAAGAATTAAACCCCATTCTGCCTACAATTCTAGAAGCTGAGAGTGTAAATCAGGGTCCAAACTATGTTGAGTCTTTCTGTGAGTCTATCACTTTGTTTCTGATGTCTGCTAGAAAATTTACAAAAATCTTATTTTCTATTGGTTTGTATACAATATACATATATATTGTGTTTCACACTATGCTTCATTCACATTGTTTCTTTATAATCATTCCTATGCATTGTGTTTCATAAAATTAATCACCATTGAACGATGCCAGTCATTACCCTGTCTTTTCAGATCCCCACCGGATCTTTCCCATTTCTTTTAACCCTCCCTCCACCCATCAAATTGTATGACTCCATGATTTCCCCCCCTGCCCACCATCACCTACTCCCATGCCTTCCCCGTGGGCCCCCATAGACATTATACTAGTTATCTTTTTATTTTTACAATAATGTTCGTATGCAGTATTTGTCCTTATAAAACAGAGTTTGTTCACTCAGCATAATGCCCTCCAGTCTCTCTCAAGTTATACAGTGATTTTCGAAATTGTTGTTCCTGAGTGTTGCGTATTCTTCCATCATGTGAGTGTACAACAGTTATCTCTCAGATGTTTCTTTGCCTGCAAATGGATCATCACCTGCCGCATCTTCCCTTATATGTGTCTTTCCTCTTTTTAAAACTCAAAAGTGACAAGGTTTAGGACCTATCCCAGGCCATTATGACCTCATTAATACAACACAAGATCATTTCCAAATAGGATCACATTCATCGGTACAAAGGCCAGGGCACCAATACATATTTTGAGAACACATTTTAATACACAACACCTCGTATATCATCTGTCCATAGAGGGCTTCTTAAATTTGAGTGCACATAAAAACTGTGGGAAGTATTAATTAAAACATGCAGATTCCTGGACCTCCCCATCGATCCTGACTCTGTGTAGACCACACTACACAAAATTCATCCACACAAAATGACTCTTTTTCTTTTGTGTCCAAAGGTAGTTAAGAAAATCAGATTTTAGAGAAACATTCATTCCTAGGGTTCAGCCAGAAGCTATCAGCTGCATTTTAAATAATTCAAAGACACTTCTGGTACTGAAAGAAGACCCAAGTGGGCAAAATTGGTTTTTATGTCCTATCTAGCAGGGTCTGGAAACCTATGTGGTGCTTCTGACTTAGCCTTGAACACCTGAAGTAGATCCAACAGTCAAATATAAGGGAGTTGGGGAAAATGGAGATGGGGGTCAGAGGACTCTTTGCCTGTTAGTTGTGTCCTGGGGATTACAGAGTGTGTTTTGCAGCCCATTTTCTGTCACCAGCTCACTATGTATTCAGATTTGAATCATCATTTATAGATGTAAATTTTTTTTAAAAAGTAAAAAAATCATTTACTTTGAGACAGATTCGTACCACACCATTGTGCTTAATCAGATTTGCACTGTGAGCCTTTGGTTTTATGATGTGATGAAGTTTTGATCCTTATTTAAAGGAAAGTTAGGCAATAGGGAGTTTTGTTGTTGTTTTTGAGATCTGAACGCCCTTCTCCTGAGCTTTCCAAATTTCTAGTTGGTGTGAGATGAGCACATGCATATTAACCACTTTCCTAATATTAGGGCATCTGCAGAGAAATAAATCAGAAAGAGGGAGGTGCTAGTCTTACTGTCCTTTCTGCCCTTACTGGCTAGGGGCACAGATAACACAGAAGAGATTGGACTGAATGCCTTCTAATCTCTGCTTCTACTCAGATTCTTACAACAGAACCCAGGCTGTGCCTTATTTTATCCCCTCCCTGGTGCCATTTCGATCCAGCTTTGATCTTCCCTTCTTTGGCCCTTATGTCCCCAGTGTGTGCTTGGGCTGACTTAGAGTTTCTGCAGTTCTAGTTCATCTGTATTCAGAGCAAAAACAAACAAACAAAGGAGACAAATACCAACCCATTGCCCTCACGACCTCCTCAGAGTGACTCCCGCCAGTTTTCCATCTTTATTGGAGAAGGCTGTCCATCTTTCTCCTGAGAAGCATATGCTGTTGTTGTTAAGTGCCGTTAAGTCGTAGGCAACTCATAGGGACCCTGTGAATGAAAGACCTGAGCGCTTGTATAACTTTCGTCCTTTCTCCAGGTCCATAGGGTTTCCGGAGGCAAGCTATTTACGGAAGTGGATGCCACTCCTGCTTCCAAGCTTGTTTTAATTGGGGAGCTCCACCAAACATTGTCCACCATGGGTGACCATTATCACATTTGACACAGTGCATTCAAACTCCTAACCTTATAGTCAGCAGCCCAACTCCTTACACGCATGCCTCTGTGGCTCCTCCTTAGGATTCAGAAAAACTGGTGAGAAATTGGAGCTTAAGTGCTTATCATTTAGTGTAGGGTGACACCAAAGAAGAGTGCCTGGGTGGTGGAGATGGTAAACTCCTAAGACTAGAGGTCTGAGTTCACCTAGAGGAAAGATTAGCCAACCTATATCCAAAAACTCAGCCATGAACACCCCATGATGTGCAACTTCACTCTGATACACATGCATCACCACTTGTCAAACAAAGCCTTTTTCTTGTGAGAGAACAAGGTGAAGCCTCCACATGCGCCCAAGACAGGAACAGAGAAAAGGGGAGTGATTGGAAAGAAGGCACCTCAGGTGCCAGCAGAGTCCTTTGTCTTTATGTATTTAATGATGATGGTGACAGTTAACATTAAATTATGAGAAAAGATAGGGACCATCAAAGGAAAACCCCCTCAAACTAGCATATTACAGAGAAATCTTGCAAGGGGTAAAGAAGGGAAGAGTCTGGAATGATGGCTTGGACGGCTAAAATGAGTAATTACAGTCATTTATGTGTCGTATTCACTCTTTATGCTTCGTTAACATGCAGCGCAATATCTGCTACGACTATCATTAAATGTGTCAGATTGGACAAGTGGTTTTTACCTGATTAGCAAAATGCTCAGCTTGTAAACTCGGGCCCTCATGGTATAAATTCCTTCTGCAAAATTGCCCATGGTTTAAGTTTTTTAAAAGTGGAAGGGGGTAAAAAGGAAAGGAGAGGAGAAAAAAAAAATCAGAGGAAATGTGCCCCTCCCTGCCTTGGCTTCTTACAAAATCTGACACAAAGGGGTTAAAAGTTAAGTGGAAGTTAGGCCTGAGCAGCTTGAAGGAGTAAGATCAGGCCCTCTATAAAAGCAGAGCAGGCGTCTTGGGGCCGCGCAAACCCCCACCTTTTTTGGCCTCCACAATCCCAGGCTCCCTCCGAAAAGTCCTCCGCCTTTGAGACTAAGCTCACGTTAGTGGCAGCCAAGGAGGGGGCCGGCCCTGCCAAGACTGAGGAGGGAGGGGAGGGGAAAAAGCAAGAATCTTACACCCCCGCCGGAGGGGGCGGGAGGAGCGCGTCCCGGCCTGGCCGAGCAGTGTCTTCGGCTCGGGGCATCTGCTTGGGGAGCGGCGCGGGAAGGATGCTGGTCCGCAAGGGCGCGCGCGCGGGGCCCGGGCTGCCGCGGGGCTGGACCGCGCTCTGCCTGCTGAGTTTGCTATGTGAGTATAGACCGCGTGCGCGGTGCGGCGGGGCGTCCAGGAAGGTCGAGGCATCCGTGGGAGGTCGAGTGCCCAGAGATGAGGGACAGGGACCCCAGCATGCCCACAGTCGCGCACGGCTGCTCCAGGTTGCTTAATTCCAGCCCAGCCGGCCAGCATCTCACCTGGGAGTTGGTGGGAGTGCGAAGGGAAGGGAGCCCACCACGCGGGTGGGTGTGAATCAAGCACGGTGGTACAAACCGGCCTGCGCGCCTTAGACTTCCTAGGGACGGACAATAGACTTATTTTGAACTGTGTCCAAAACAAGCGGTTTGGAGATGCCAGTGTCTCATTGAGTTGCCAAAGGTGCGGAGCACAGAGCTGGAGAGGGGGAATAGGAAAGTTTTCCTGCTGGTGAGGGATCACAGAGCGGCGCCTGGAGGGTGGTGGGGAAGGAGCCCAGGTGCGGATGGCCCCCAGAACAGGGGAGGCTGAACCTGGAGCAAAGGCATGACTGATCTAGGTTATGAAAGGGCAGTACAAGAAAAATCCCTGCATTTACTGTCGGAAAGCTGTGTAAGTACAACTCCTCCTTTGGACGCCCACACCTACAGGCGCGAAGGTAATGGAGTTCTGGGCCAAGTCTCCATCTCGCACCCGACTCACATCCAGCCCCTCCCCTGAACTCCAACTTGTTACACTTTGGGGTTTTCTTCCCCCCCCCCCCCGCGCCCCCGCCCCGACATCTAAAGCACATGGACTGGTCAGAACAGCACCTCCACTCTGCTCTTGATAAAAAAAAAAGATACTCGGTTAGTTTTTTTAGTGGCTTTGTATGTGAGAATAGCGTTTTCTGTTTCAAATTATCTGATCTTGTTAGGTGTGGTGGAGTGGGCTCATTGACCCCACAGGACACAGTAGAACTTACCCAGACTGAATTTTGGGTTTCCCAAACAGAATTTTGTTTAGGAAAGCAGACCTTTTCTCTTATAGAGTGGGTGGGAGGTTCTAGCCATATTTCTTTAGGTTAACTAACAGCCAAGAGCGCAGCCACTGTGTCGCCAGGGCGTTGATCACCTGCACTTAGGTGGATTTAAACATTGTAAAGCATCACTTTTGCTGAAGATTTTGCTTCCACTTCTGGTCTTCTCAGTGCCCTACCTCACTGTACCTTAATGATCACCCACCATGGCCCCAAGAGAGTGGCCCCAGGCCCAACCGAGGAGGCCTCTGCTCGAGCCTGAGCTGCTGCCCCGCCTTTGGAACCACCCTTTTTGGACAAAGCTAGCCCTGGGCAGGAGGCAGCTCAGAAAGAGTCTCCGGGTGGACCTGTTTGGCAGCCCTGGGGCCTTGAGGCAAAAGGACAGCTGCCGCTGAGGTGTTGAAGCCCTGGAATGGGGTCTTTCCTGGACTCTGATATCAGGAGTGAGTTGGCTGGAGGCTCTGATTCTGATTGGATGCTCCCTTCTGCTTTAGCTACACAGTTTGTGATAATCTGGTCCTAGTCAAAGGGAGGCCCACCTTTTTCTTACTCCCTCAACTGTAGTGTCCCTCTCGCTTTGGTCTGCAGAGATGTGATGGAGGGGTTGTTAGCAGCAACTCCATCTCCATAAGATTTTGGGTGGAGAGTCCGAGAATTTCAGTGTCTCAGGTTAAGCGGTGAAAAGTGGAACATTGGCTCCATTCCCGACCCAGCCCAGCGGCTTGGACCACTTCATAACTTTATGCCCCAAGAAGTTCTAGGACTTTTTGTTGAGTATTGGGAGTTGTTTTGTGCCCTGGAACACATTGTGGGCAAAATACATGAGTGACTGGACTTTGAGATACCAATAAAGGAAACTTTTCAGAAAATTTGTGCTATCATTGTTGTGAAATTTAGGGCAGAAGCGTTCTGTTTCTCCCATCATCACTTTGGTTCACAAAGCACATTATTTTGGCGAGGTCTTTTTTTTCTCTATTCCTATGAAAAGGTGGAACAGGCATGAACATATCAGTCAACCAAGAGTGGGGTTTCTTTGTGGGGGGTGGTTGGATTCCAGACCAGAGTCAGGCTTGAAGTGGGGACTGCCACCAGGCTGCACCCCTATACTGCTTGCCTCATGGAAAGCTTTCAGGTAATTAGGAGGCCTGGTTTGCCAGGCTCATGATACCTCCTTCCTCCAAGTCCTGGGCGGCCTGGCTTTTCCTCGCCCCCTCACAACAACCTCCCCTCCTCTGGCCACACCCCTTCACATTCCTCTTCTTCCTTTGGGTCCTTCGTGCCTGTTGACCCCACACCCATATCCTGTCTGGGGCTACATGTAAGTGGGGAGAAAGAAAAGGGAAAAGAATTTTATCAGCTCTTTTCCAGAGGGGAGAGGACTCCACCCTTGAATCACAGCCACATGGAGACTGAGAAGCAGCAGCCTGTGGGACTGCTGACTAATTCAGTGGTCCCCAGTGCTTCCCCCCTTGTAGGGCCAACCCAGCTGGCACAGCCTGTTGAAAATGCATTTCCTCAGCAGCATTCCTGTTTGACTAATAAACACACAGGGGTCCAAGACCTCTGCTGCTTATCCCTCTGGCCCCACCTCCTGGGCCCCTAAATCACTTGTCCACCTCTCCTTCCTTCTCCAAGTCTATCTCCAAAAACTCAGAGCAAGAAGTTCCAAAGTACAGCAGATAAACCCAGACACTGAGTCCCACAAAAACAAATTAAAAGAACAGATTCCACTTCTTACCATTGCCAGACTTCCTTTATATCCTGGGCTGGAGGACCTGTGCTGCCTTGCAAGGTTAGATTGTTAGCCAGATCTCCCCTCAAGATACTTGGCCTCTGCCTCTCTCTTATTGACTTGGGTTGGTTTAATTAGAGTCTGGAGATTCAGAGCTAAAAATGTGGTGGTATGAGAAAAAAACAAGCCAGCCAGCTAACCGCCTTCCAAGAGAAAAATCAAACCTCCATCAGTAATAGTGACAAATTCACTGGCTGAACAAAGCAGGAAGCATGAATAAGAAGATAGAAAGAATAAATAGAATCACTAAACAAAATTAAAAAATAGTAGTTATTCAGCTGCATCAGTAGGTAGCATATGATCAAGAACCAGTGGTATTGAAGGAAGAAATCCAAGTGGTACAGAAGACATTGATGGACGAAAAGCTCCAGGAATTGACCGAATACCAGTTGAAATGTTTCCACAAACAGATGCAATGCTGAAAGTACTCACTCATCTATAACCAGAAATTTGGAAGACAACTATCTGGTTGATTGACTGCAAGAGATCCACTGCCCATCACAGAGAAAGACGATCCACTGGAATGTAAAAAATGATGAAAATAACATTAACATCACACACAAATAAAATCTTGCTGAAGATAATGAAAATACACTGACAGGGAACTGGGAGAAATGAAAATCCGATTCAGAGAAGGACTTTGAACGAGGAAAATCATTGTTGATGTCAAATGGATATTGGTTAAAAATACAGAATACCGGAACAATGTTTGCCTGTGTTTTATGGACTACGCAAAGACATTTAACAATGTAATCATAACAAATTCTTAATAACGTTGCAAAGAATGAGAATCTCAGAACACTTACCTGTACTCATGTGAAAACCAGCACATTAACAAAGAATAGAACTTGGGGAACCATGTGGTTTAAATTTCGAAAAAGTGTGTATCAGGATTGTATCTTTTCACCGTACTTACCCTGAGTAAATAATCCTGGAATCTATGAGATATGAAGAATGCAACATCAGGATTGGAAGAAGACTCATTAATGATTTCTTGATAAAGATCAGAGACTACAGCCTTCAGTATATGGATTACACCTAACACAAACACAAATCCTCACAACTGGATCGATAAACAGCATCATGATAAATGGAGAAAGGATTGAATTTGTCTAGGAATTAATTTTTCTTGTATCCACGATCAATGTCTGTGGAAGCAATAGTCAGGAAATCAGACCGTGTATTAAATTGGGCAAATTGGTTGCTAAAGTCTTTTATAAAATATTAAAAAAGTAAAGTTGTTACTTTCCTTTTGTTTTTTTCCCTTCAAGTTGTCTCTTCGAGAACTAAGAGGCCTGACTGAAGCCATGGTATTTTATATTGCCTCCTGTACATGTAAAAGCTGGACAGTCGAATGACGTAGACTGAGAAAGAATTGATGCATTTTAATTATGGTGGTATTGGTGAAGAACATTAAATGTGCTGCGGACACTGCCAAAACAAATATTAACAATGTAACCTATACTTGGACTAGGAGGCAGTCATCTTAACAGAGCAAGGAAACACTGCATGGTTCAAAATTGGGAAGGGTGTATGCCGGGGAGGTGTCCTATCTCCATACCTTTTCAATCTTTAGGCAGAACAGATTATCTGGGAGGCTGGGCTCTATGAGGGTAAGTGTGGTGTGAGGATTGGAGGAAGAATCATCAACAATCTGCGTTATGCAGATGACACAACCCTGCTTGCTGAAACTGAGAAGGACCTGATGCCTCCAATATGGATTGAGGCTCAATGTCAAGAAGACAAAGATTCTCACCACTGGATCAATTAGCAGCTTCAGGATGGATGGTGAAGAGATTGAGATTGTTCACAGCTTCAGTTTGCTTGGCTCCATAGTCAACAGTCTTGGCACCAGCAGCCAGGAAATTAAAAGGCGCATTGCCATGGGAAAGTCTGCTGTTAGGGACCTCTCCAAAGTGCTGAAGAGCAGTGGTGTCTCTCTGGAGACTAAGGTGCGTCTTATACAGGCCATGGTCTTTGCAATCACTTGTTATGCATCAGAGAGTTGGACAATGACTAGGGAGGATAGAAGGAGAATTGATGCCTTTGAGCTGTGGTGCTGGAGAAGAGTATTAAGGGTACCATGAACTGCAAAGAAAACGAACAGGTTCATCCTGGAGAGGCTTAACCCAGGCTGCTCCTTGGAGACAAGGATTCTGCAGTTTCATCTGACATACTTTAGACTTGTTGCAAGGAGAGACTAGTCCTTGGAGAAAGACGTCATGCTTGGGAGGGTGGAGGGACAGC